GACAGTCTATATGAAGGGATTGTATGGTTAGTAATACAGTCCATATGAAGGGATTGTGTGGTCAGTACTACAGTCTATATGAAGGGATTGTGTGGTCAGTACTAGGGACAGTCTATATGAAGGGATTGTGTGGTCAGTACTACAGTCTATATGAAGGGATTGTGTGGTCAGTACTACAGTCTATATGAAGGGATTGTGTGGTCAGTACTAGGGACAGTCTATATGAAGGGATTGTATGGTTAGTACTACAGTCTATATGAAGGGATTGTGTGGTCAGTACTAGGGACAGTCTATATGAAGGGATTGTATGGTTAGTAATACAGTCTATATGAAGGGATTGTGTGGTCAGTACTACAGTCTATATGAAGGGATTGTGTGGTCAGTACTAGGGACAGTCTATATGAAGGGATTGTGTGGTCAGTACTACAGTCTATATGAAGGGATTGTGTGGTCATCTCTAAGGCCAGTCTATATGGAGGGATTGTGTGACCTTGAATCCAGTCTATATGAAGGAATTGTGTGGTCAGTACTACAGTCTATATGAAGGGATTGTGTGGTCAGTACTAGGGACAGTCTACTGACAGTTTGGTCAGTACTACAGTCTATATGAAGGGATTGTGTGGTCAGTAATACAGTCCATATGAAGGGATTGTATGGTTAGTACTACAGTCTATATGAAGGGATTGTGTGGTCAGTACTACAGTCTATATGAAGGGATTGTGTGGTCATCTCTAAGGCCAGTCTATATGAAGGGATTGTGTGATTAGATACACTTCCATAATAAATCCGTAATTGTATTGTCTGGCCTATCGGAAACCAAACTTGGGATCTGTAGGTAGCAGTTATACCCTCTAACACTCGACCACGTTCACATGTGAGTTGACTTCAGCGGTTGGAACCAGTCAATATTGTCTGACTTACAGGGTCGGCGTGGTCGAGTCGGTAAAGCTCATGTTTGCTTAACCGAATAGTCTCGAGTTCGAACCCTCGGGCAGATGAGGCTCGTTAGCTGGGGACAAGAACTCTTCATGGAGAGTCAACTCCAAAATCAAACAACTGCTGCCTTGTAGTTTTTCTTGGTTGGACAAAGGCTATGGAAACATATCGATAAAGAAAAGAAGGTTGAGACAAAAGCCTCAATGACGCATAACAAGTTGACACAGATACGTAATTGTGTTGGAGGGAATCTTTTCCAACACTATAATTAAGAACGAAGAAAATGAAGACTGACTTACATGTAATACATTGAGGTGATCTTAATTAGCACATCCTGAGACATTTTTCTGTTTTGTGGTTTTTAAAATACCCCCCCCACACCAAAAAACAATAAGTTATCACTTAATAATTTAAAGAAACTGTTTTTGTTTTGGTTTGATCTTAATTTTAACATTTGCAAGGTATACTTCAAATGATTATTAATGGTCATCTATATAGATCAGGGGTCTCCAAACTTTTCAGCCTGAGGGCCGCATTAACTATCAAATATAAGTTCGGGGCCAGAGTTTCTTTAAGGGTCTCTTCATGGTCGTCGTGGCACCCCCCCCCCCCCCCCGAAGAACGTCTACCGCACCTCCCCCCAACGAAATATAATTTATATTGAAATATATACATATTTCGAGTGTCCACCCCCCACCCCCACCCACCAGAGGTCCACGTTTGCTCTCAAATTGTTCTTAACGTATTTCATCCTTGAAAATGTTTGTTCACACAGGTATGTTGTTAGAAAATTTGAAAGGTACTTTAATGCAAAAATTTTAATGTTAGGAAAGTCTTCCTTTGTTCAAAAACGTATGAAAACCCATCCGCTCTTCTTTGAACGTGTCTCTAAGGAAGTCATTTTCTTGCAATTCAATGACATCCCGCTGCAGTTCATCTTTGCAACTGGTCACATTTGCTTCAAATGGGCTTTAAAACAGTCTCACTTCTTCTGCCTTTGAGTCCAAGTCAGAAACTGAAACTGCAGCTGGAGGTTAGGTTTAAGGTTTTAGGGTTAGCCTGTACTTGTTCCAAAAACATGACAAGTTTGTATCTTAAGACCTTTAGGTGGGTGTATAGATCAGAAACTAGATTTCACTCTCTTGCCGTTGTAGGTTCAGAAAATTTAAATGACTAGTTATGTTTGCAGCAGAGGCCAATTTCTATACCCACTCTTCATCAGACAATAATGGCTGTGACTTGCCTTTACTATCAGGAAGTCACCTATTCTGCTCATAATTTTCTCGCAAAATTAGCAATCTTACTGATGTGAAATATGGTAAATCTTGCGATTTTCTGTTTGTCTCTGAACTATTTATGGTTAGGTATCCTCTTCGGTAACAGTGCCATACATGCTATGTAGGGAAGCCAGCTCTTGTGTTATGCTCATGTCTTCATCAACACCCCTAATGAACACTAGCAGTTGAGAGGTGGAACAGCTGCACAGCGACTCATCCATTGCAATTGAAAAATGGCGAAACTTGCTTGAATTTTTCGCTATTTGAGTCGCAATGTTTTCACCAATGTATGCAACACGGCGAGTAATTGTATTTGCACACAAGCTAGATTTTCAAATAGTTTTGAATTTTCTGTGCAAAGCTCCTCAGCCACCTCCAACAAACATTTATTCAGTGGACAAAAAATGACCTCGCGGGCCGCATCCAGCCCGCGGGAGACCCCTGATATAGATGAACGAAGCACAACCCCCCCCTCACCCTCCCCGAGCGAAATAAATTTATATTCAAATATATCCTTTTACCAATATCCGCTAACCCCTCCCCTCATCTTAAATTTAAGTCCGCCCACGCCACTGGAGAAAAATGTCAGAAACCCTAGATGGGTGTGTGTGGGGGTGGGGGGGAAGGGGTGGGGGGCAGAGAAAGGGGGTATAAGTAATGACGTGACGTAATGCTACATAATAGGGTCTGGTCTCTAAACGCCAACATATGAGAGGGTAGATAACCTGTAGGACCATTCAATGTACCGCACGTACACAAGTTTGATATCGCAAACGATTTTATTTATTGCTAAGTCCTGAGTAGTTGTTATAGCTAAATAACGAATACCTTATCATTTCCATTTTGTTTGATTTCATATGTAGGCAGTATTTACCATTTTGGCATATATAGTTCAGGTCCACTAGGGAGAGGGGAGGACTAATTTACTGCAATTAATTATGGTACTTAATTATGATTTGATTTTGGCGATTTAATTAACAAAGATGTACACTTAATTTAGTGATCGCCGAAATAAAGGCTTTAAAAAGACGTAGTTAATTATAGCCACGAAACACTTAGAGTGTGTATAAAACAATAGTGTGAAAGGCCGTTGTTATTTCTTGTGGGTGGTATCTGTATGTTTATATTATATAGCTGAGTCTTATTGTTGTGGTTTAGTGGTTGTGGTGTAGCTGTTGTGGTGTAGTTGTTGTGGTGTAGTTGCTGTGGTGTAGTTGTTGTGGTATAGTAGTTGTTATCTGGTTGTTGTGGTCTAGTTGCTGTGTTGTAGTTGTTGTGGTGTAGTTGTTGTGGTGTAGTTGTTGTGGTGTAGTTGTTGTGGCCTAGTTGTCATGGTCTAGTTGTTGTGGAACCGCTCTAATTATTGTGGTGTAGTTGTTGTAGTCTAGTAGTTGTGGTCTGGTTGTTGTGGTCTAGTTGTTGTGGTGTTGTTGTTGTGGTCTAGTTGTTGTGGTGTTGTTGTTGTGATGTAGTTGTTGTGAAGTAGTTGTTGCGGTGTAGTGGTTGTGGTGTTATTGTTGTGGTGTAGTTGTTGTGGTCTAGTTTGATATGGTCTAGTTGTTGTGGTGTACATTTTGTGGTCTAGTTGTTGTGGTGTACTAGTCGTGTACATGTGGTGTAGTTGTTGTGGTCTGGTGGTTGTGCTGTTAAGGTGATATACTCCATAGAACCACTTCCAAAAAGGCGCTACATGTTTAAACTATAACACGCACTACACATCATATTCTAATATCTCCAAATAGCCATATCAACTGCCATCTTAGCTTATGGTTTGCCAATCTTTAAGTAATAAACTTGATTCTTTTGACTAGCGTGAATTTTCAATTTTCAGTTTTAATTTTCCTTTTCCCCTTTTGTTTTGATCGTTTTATTCTCCGGTTATTATGTTACCAACTTGTGCTAATCCCACTTGACGCAGGTGGGGTTTTAAATCGATCTAGCTCCGGAGTTACATTATCTTCCACAAAGATAACACAAATTTGTAGACTGCTACATCAGCAGATGATGCTGATTATACATCAGTTTGTAGCGAAAAGAAAATTAATCTTGTGTTGGAAGCTTATAAGCTAACGTTACTTACGATAACCGAATTTATAATTCTTAGTTAATAAGAATTAATTAAGATTAATTAAGCACTATAATTAGATGTAGGTTGTGATTATATTTTTTCTCTCTTCCAGATCAAGTACAGGATAAAGCGCGGCAATATCTAGTGGCTTCAGGGAATTCCCACTGAGTCTTTCATCAACACACCCCGCCTTGCCGTGCGAAATATTTTGATAACAGTTTGGATTTTGTACTGCTAAGGTGTTTACTAGCATGAATTTAAGATGTGGTTCTATATCGTTGTTGGAGATTTAGGCCAAGCCATGTTTTATTTAAAAAATGGATGAAACAACGGTAGAAAATATTAAAACTGACAAATTACAATAAATGAAATTAAAGTATTTTAAATACAAAATTAAAGTTCATTAAGCTAAAGTGATAATTATGTTAAATGCATAATTAAAGTTCATTAAGTTTCAGTGATAAGTATTGGGTGGTATAACGTTGAGCAATGTAAGAAAATCTTCAGCAAAAAATTTGCCTGCAAAAGTGACGCTTTAGTACTATGATATGACGCAGTCAAGATATGAACCATGTAAAGGGACACCCCAGTGGCACGATACTAAATTTTAACCACCTAAGGTACGATTCAAAATCTGAACCTTCTAAAGTGATTGATTAGTGCTATGATACATGCAAAAGTTGCATCGGAGCCCACGGAGAAAAGAAACGAAATAAAACACAAGCCTCCATTATGATGGTGTGTGCCGGCATGTCCCAACCGGCAATTGCCGGCGCGGCCACCAACGGTTGCAGTGGCCCCACAGGCTCCACCTGCGACATCCTGCAGGCGTCCCTGCCAGGCACCAGCCTGTCGGTGAAAGGGGAAAACCCTGCGCACCTGCATGACAGGCGACAGCCGCCATCTTTGTTGTTTGGATTAAATAACCAAGACGACCACGGTAGATGGGACACCCGTTCTGCTTACATGAGGGTGAGTTGAAACATTTGTTGACATGTTGTTGCATTTTTAAACATGAGAGATAACCATACCCTAATAACGTTTAAAAAATTTGTTAACATAGTTTTAGGTCTTTACACACAGTCGAAAACAGTACACTAGCAAATTAAAAACAAATGTGTCTAAATATTGACAATATTGTTACATTTATAAAGATAGAAGAGTACAGAGCACTAATAAATTAAAAAAAAAAGTTTACATTTTGTTACATTTTTAAACATAGAAGTTAACAATACATTAATAAAGTTTAAAACCATGTTTACATTTTTGCACCAATGTTACATTTTTATAGTTACAAGAAAACAATACACTAATAAAGTTTTAAAAACGTGTTTATAATTATATTGTTACATTTTTAAACAGACAAAAAGAATACACTAACAATGGTTATAAAACGTGTTTACAGATTGTTACATTTTAATAACGTTTAAAATCGTGTTAACGTTTTGTAACAATGTTACATTTTTACACTTACAAGAAAACAATGCACTAATAAAGTTTTAAAAACGTGTTTACATATTGTTACATTTTAACACTAACAAGGAAACAATACACAAATAAGCAAAAGTCATTGGATAACATTTCATATTCGGTTCAACGAATGTTTACAAATTAAAATAAAAACGTAATCTAATTTAATTAAAAAAAAAAGGTTTAATCTCGTTATGTTCGGCCAAACAAAAAAGAAATAAAAATACCGTGGTGTGGAAGTGTCTACATGTCGTCACGATGAGGAAGCGAGGATTCAAACCCACCACCACACATCCTAGTGCGCTACATCTTGACCACGCGGTCTGTAGCAAAGTGTAGAAAATACAAACATTTTTTAATTGACGACTTTATCATCTTAAAAAATTAGTTTTCTTCTTTTTTTTTCCGGGTCTCAAATTTTTTATACCCCACCCCCCATAAAAAAAATAAAATAAAAAAATAAAAATAAATATAAAAAATATTGACCAAGTATTATCCGTGCATCCCAACGATAAAAACCTGGTATAATTTACTATAATCCGCATATCCAGCTTAAGGAACTAATATAATCCATATTCTCTACATCAAAAAACAAATACAATCCCTATATCCCAACAGGAATAATTAAAATTTGTACATCCCAAAGCAACGAGTTTTATCCCTATCCCCAACATTAAATACTATTCGATAGTTCCTCTCCTCAACCACTACAATTACAGTACTCCCAAATTTAAAGACTATTGTATAGTCCCTCTCCTCAACATAATCAAAATACCACTACTATTACAGTACTATTAACTAGTACTATGTTTTCAACCCCCACTTCACGACAAAATCCAGCCTACGCCCATGTATTGTAACAAAGGTCAATGAAGGTAACTGTGTCACTACTGTTTTAAATTTTAAATCAAGAACCATTACTCTCTACGATGGATCTTTGCTTACAGTGTGTTTAACCGATTATTTCCCTTAGCCAAAAAAATCTATACAAGCGCGACTGAAAATTATTCTCTTTGAAAAAATATATTTTCTTCTTTAAAAATGTTTATATTTTACATCATTTATTATTTAAAAGAAATCTTAAAATGGAACGCTAAAATTTAGACCTTTTTTTATAGAAAGTAATTTTATTCTTAAAATTGTTCAAGCTTTTATTCCACTAGTAAATTTAAAAAGTGTGAATATTTGTATCAATATTTGATGAGCATTTCAAGGCGACGCCGGGTCGTAGTGGAGATTTCAACTGTAAAAAGAGCATTATGACGTCATAGAAAGTCTGAATAAAATGGAAGGGTTGGGGGGGGGGGGTGGAGGACGGGGGGGGTGGAGGACAGAGAAAAACTTCTTGACGTCATTGCCAGCGTTTTGAGTTCGTGTTTGATATTAAAGACGCGTGACGTAGTCGCTGTTTTTTACTTGAGTGATGTGTGTGACGTAGTCAGTGTGTAGGTGACGTGTGTGATGTAGTCGGTGTGTTGGTTATGTGTGACGTAGTCGGTGTGTTGGTTATGTGTGACGTAGTCGCTGTTTCTTACTTGAGTGATGTGTGTGATGTAGTCGGTGTGTTGGTTATGTGTGACGTAGTCGCTGTTTCTTACTTGAGTGATGTGTGTGATGTAGTCGGTGTGTTGGTTATGTGTGACGTAGTCGCTGTTTCTTACTTGAGTGATGTGTGTGACGTAGTCGGTGTGTTGGTTATGTGTGACGTAGTCGCTGTTTCTTACTTGAGTGATGTGTGTGATGTAGTCGGTGTGTTGGTTATGTGTGACGTAGTCGCTGTTTCTTACTTGAGTGATGTGTGTGACGTAGTCGGTGTGTTGGTTATGTGTGACGTAGTCGCTGTTTCTTACTTGAGTGATGTGTGTGACGTAGTCGGTGTGTTGGTTACGTGTGTGATGTAGGCGGTGTGTTGGTTATGTGTGACGTAGTCAGTGTGTTGGTTATGTGTGTGACGTAGTCAGTGTGTTGGTTATGTGTGACGTAGTCAGTGTGTTGGTTATTTGTGACGTAGTCGGTGTGTTGCTTACGTGTGTCGTAGTCGGTGTGTTGCTTACGTGTGTCGTAGTCGGTGTGTTGCTTACATGTTCTTGAGATTAAATATGTGAAAAGGATGCATTTATTTGGAACACGTTGCAAAAATTATCGGCTCATAACTTGATTTCAGCCTCAATATCAAGAAGATTTTTAAATTCACCAACTACAGATATTTTCCTTGACCGAATTTATGTATTTTATATTGATCAACTTTATATATCTTATATTGACCAACTTTATATATTTTATATTGACTAACTTTAGATAATTTATATAGACCAACTTTAAATATTTTATATTGACCAACTTGAGATATATTGACCAACTTTAATTATTTTATATTGACCAACTTGAGATAATTTATATTGACCAACTTTATATATTTTATATTGACCAACTTAATATATTTTACACTACCAGATTTAGATATTTTAGGAGATCATCTTTAGATACTTTATTTGACCAACCGTAGATATTTTACATCTTGAAACTTAGATATTTTATTTAACCATTTTACTTGACCTGTTTAAATATTTTATTCGACCAACTTTTAAATATATTAAATCACCAACTTCAGTAATTTTCTAGCATCAATTTTAGATATTTTACTCAACCCGTTTTTAACTATTTTACCCAAACATTTTTTAACTATTTATTTATAATCTCAGAATTTTTGCTCTGCCTATACCAGAGTTTCTTCCAGGCGAAGCCCCCCCCTTCCCCCCCCCCCCCAAAAAAAAACTCTACCGCCCTCCCCGAACGAAATGAAATTTATATAATTTATATAGAAAATATATACATATATACTTTTAACAGTGTCCCCCCCCCACGAAGAAAGTCTATCGCCCCCCCCCCCCCCGAAAATTTCAAGTGCCCCCCCCCCCCCCCCCCCGGAGAAAAAAGTCTGGAAGAAACACTGGTCTATACTCAGCTGAACAGAACATGCCTCCCCCCCCCCCTCTACCCATACTGAAATAAAAAACCAACAACCAACAACCCACCTCTTAGTTGTAGGTCGCCGATGTTGGTAATGACTCCCCTGACGTCATAGCCCAGACGTCTGCTAGACTAAGATGACCATTGTTGGACCAGACGTGGCGTGCTGTCAAACGATACATATGTCTTAGAATTTTTTTTCATTTTTTTCTTACACTTCTTTGATGCCTTCCGAATGTTCAAACTTGTTAAATTTGTCATTTGTCGAGAAATATTTTTGATAAGGTATTAATTCAGTTGCTGTAGAATTTTTTTTTTTTTGCAAGATTTTTTTTTAAAGTTTGAATTTCGAAGAGGGAGGTGGGGAATGTTTGGGTTGTATAAAATCTGATGAATTATTCAAAAATTCGATTTTTAAGCATTGGGAACGAATTGGAAGTTAAACACACTGTCGGCGTTTGTTTGAGCTGTGTTTGTTGTGTTGGTTACTGGTGTGATTCGCTTTTGGGTGATTGGGGTTGTTTTGTTATTTGTATGATGGAGTCGTTTTGTCGTTGTATGATTGGCGTTGTTTTGTCATTTGAACGATGGATTATTTTGTCATTTGTATGATGGATTATTTTGTCATTTGTATGATTAGGGTTGTTTTGTGATTGTAGGATTGGGATTGGCTTGTCAATGTGTGATTGGAGTTGTTTTGTCATTGTGTTATTAGGGTTGTTTTAAAACAACTTCTATAACAACTAGATCTCTAAAAACAAGTTGACCTCTAATAACAAGTTGACCTCTAATAACAACTTGACCTCTAATAACAACGTGAATCCAAACAACAAAACGATCTGTTAACAGCGTGCCCTCTACAAAATGTCTTGCGGGTGCCAATTTAAAAAAAAAATGGAATATACTATTTTAAAACCAATTTAGATAAAACAAACAAGACACTAATTAATAAAATAAAGAGCTAATTAATGAAATAAAGAGCTAATTAATCAAATAAAGAGAACAATTAGTGAGAACAGAAAAACAACTTGTTTAATAAATAACACTCAGTATGACGGTGGGGAACTGTGAGCAACATGATGAAACAACTCACAACAATAATAAGCATTGGCGTAGCCAGGAATTGGTCATGGCAGGGGTTCAAATATTTTTCCATATGTATAAAATTATATATATATATATATATAATATATATATATATATATATATATATATATATATATATATATATATATATATATATATATATATATATATATATATATATATACATATATATATATATATATATATATATATAGGGGTGTGAGTCCAAGGGAGGTCTTTTAACCCCCCAAACCCCCAACCCCAGTTGCCTACGCCACTGATAATAAGTGGTCATTTGATTGGCTGTCAGCGTAAAGTTAATTGTGGACATTATTTGTGATTGTACAGGTGTTATCTTTTATACCAGTTTTTGGTAAAGTCATGGTGTTTTAGACCTATTGCCGGCAGAGATCCTGGTTTTTCTATCACCAGCCTATAAGGTTATG